AGGATTGAATATACTTCAATGATCACATTAGGCTACACATGATTAATTGTGTGTGTGTGTGTGTGTGTGTGTGTGTGTGTGTGTGTGTGTGTGTGTGTGTGTGTGTGTGTGTGTGTGTGCGTGCAGGTACCTGGAGTATACACGGATCCCCCACACAGAGCCGATAGAGCACGAGTTTCATTGGGGTCAACGTGCCGAGGTGGAGGTTTCCAAATCAAAGATCCTGGCGTTCATGGGGGAGGTGTGTATCAGAGCTGCCTCTATACTTGAACACTCTACTGTTGAGTCTTATCCTCACGGTGAGATTGCCAGGCTTTGTGATATTGCTGTGCCAGGACCAGTGTTGGGCATGTTACTTCCAAAATGTAATGCAGTACATACTGTCTTTTTTAAGTAATAAGTTACATTACAATATTACTCTCTCTGAAATGTAATGAGTTACATTACTTTTATATTACTTTTGAGTTACTTTCACCAAAATAACCGCAAAAGAATGGCTAGGTATTTTAAATGCTAAAATGTAGTTTAGTGCAGCAACTGTGTAGGCCCTTAAGGCTACTAACAACTTTTATTACACGGCTTAGTTGAATACTCGATTCTGATTTGTCAATTCCGTTGCTAAGGAGGATCAAGAAAGAGAAAGTAAATGAGGGTAAAAGACGGAGCGCTGGATGTCAGATAAATGAACAGAAGAAGACAGACAAGAAGTAAACACTCACAGGAACACGGTATGGGCTCTGCAGTGTTTAAGGACTCGTTAGTGGATCAGAAACTGAACAGAGTTGGACAGTGCTGCCGTAAAGCATTTCAAGCCGTTGGTGCGCCGTGGAACGGAGTTTTCTTTTTTCTTAGCGGAAGAAATACGATAATTTTAAGTCAATAAAATCATTTCAATTAATATTGGGAGTCGATTCCTTAGTTTGATTAGTATCTGGCCGTGTAATAAGAGGGATAATGTGCAGCGACTTGGTCATTATGGGGAAAAGAACACCCTTCAGGCTCATCAAGATCAGCCTGTCTGGGGGTTCTTTTCCCCAAAATGACTGATGACGTAAACACCAGGTTTACTAATCTACCGGCACCATTTTTCTCTGGTGTCGGAATGTCTCGCGATGTTCGTGAATTCTTAAAAAACAAAACACCATTTCATTTCGGGTTAAAATGAGAATTGTAACGGGTAGTATATTACCCACATTTCATTAGTAATGCGTTACTTTTTGCTGTAACAAAGTAATGTAATACATTACTGTAACGCCGTTACTTTTGTAACGCGTTACACCCAACACTGGCCAGGACAATAGTCAGAGATACAACCTTATTTAAAGGTGACCTATTATGCAAAATGCACTTTTGTACGTCTTTTATACATGAATATGTGTCCCCGGTGTTCCAGGGAACTCAACAAGTGTCAGAAAACACAACCCTCTCTATTTTCCTCCATACCCAAATCTCTTAAAAAGGGGCTGCAAAGGATCTGATACAGACTGATCCAGATTTGAACACTTCTATGACGCCACAGAAGTTGCGCTACGGCTATTGGGCCAACTCCACCAATCAGGAGGAGACAGCCACGGAAATTGGCGTTCCAAAGAGCTGGAGACGCTGTAGTACATATTTCAGGCCACCAGATGGTGCTGTTCTCACAGAATCCGAGCATGAAAGGCAGTGTTAAATTGAGCGAAATGAGGAATGGCTAAAATGCATGATCTGTTTGGTATTTTGAAAAATAAAAAGTATAAATATGCCTTATATAGGAATGGTCCTACACTATATTATTCAAAAATAGCATGATAGGTCCACTTTAAATATACAATTTTCTATTACACTCTATTTTTATTATTATTTTTGCCAACCAGATATAAGGGGTTAATTATGAAGCGTTAGAAGTGTTATGTTGGTATAATATTTGTTTTTCTTTTGCACTGAGCCGGGCTAGCTGTTTCCCCGTCTACACTCTGTGCTAAGCTAAGCTAGCTGTTTCCTTGACTTCATATTTGGTGGCCAGATGTGCGAGTGTTATCTGTCCTTNGCCCAAAAGGGAGGATTTTCTCTTAAAACATTAGAGGTAATCCAGGGGAATTTTAAATCTCTTTCTCTTGAACGCAGAGACTTTGGCGGCTTCTCTTCTTTTCCCCTGGATTACCTCTAATGTTTTAAGAGAAAATCCTCCCTTTTGGGCAGATTGACCTCACTTCCTGACGGCTGTAACACCAGGGAGTCACATGCGACATACTGTCACACCGGTTGAACGCAGAGAAAGTGCCTAAATCTGATTTCTTAATTTGTAAAGATAAAACCCAGACAGTTGAATAATAGGCCATGGCAGCGGGTGTTTGTTCTGTAATGACTGAAAGAGATGCGGAGGCGAGAGCAACATGAACACAAAGCAGCAGCTGATCATAGAGAGAGAGAGAGAGAGAGAGAGAGAGAGAGAGAGAGAGAGAGAGAGAGAGACAGGAAATACTGCAAACACAACTGTGGCAATTCAATGCATATTATGCTTCATTTCAAATGCATGGCACGGTTTTTAAAGATATTAATGCAGTGCCCTTTTTCTATCAATAGAATTGTTATTGTTGTTTTAAGCAGGCAATATTGTTTAGGTTTGGTTTTCCTTAAAAAGGTTTTTGCTTCTATTTAGTCAACATCATTTTTTAACTGCTTACTTGTTTTTAGTTTTTAGTACCCTGCTGTTTTAACTGTTGCTAGTATCAGCTTAGCTTGCTTTGAAACTTGATTGTGGGGAAATATTTATAAATGCAAATAAAAAAGGTTCCTGGTACTATTCAAAACTTATGCAAATAGAGAACCAAGGAATAATTGTTCAAAGCTGAGCCAAGCCGTACCATGCGGCATAAGAAAGTCACTATGTGGTATTTATTTAGAATTGTATGTATTGTAAATGACAGAGAAACATTCAGGGTTAGCAACATTAGACATCCCACAGTAGGTGAACAGAAATACATAATGATGAATGTCAGGAGCAGTGCAGGACCAGAGCACTCTGAAGTGGCCCAGTGTTCTCCACTCTCCTGTTGATCTGTGGTGTGGTATAAACCAGAGTCTATGGTCTTAGACACTCTGGCTCTGATCACACCAGTGCAGTTTATACAGAGATATAGTACAGTTTATACAGAGATATCAGCAGGGGCTTGAACCTGTGACCTTCTGATCACAGACACAGGGGATTAGTGAGGTGAGCTATAGCCTAGCTTAAACAGACAAGGGGTTTCACACATTAACACGTTGGAGGAGGGGTGAACAATCAGAGTGCTTACATGCACGGGTAACCAGAGTCCTTATAAATAATTAGGGCAGAGGACCTGGAGTACAGGGATCCACAACAATGCTTGCATGAATGTAGGCTACTCAGAGAAATCAGGTTACATTGGTAAGCAGATGAGACCTCAAACCAAGACCTTGTGTGAGTGAGAGTGTGTTGAAGCGGACTGATTTTTAGAAACCTGGAGTGTGTAGACCAAAAGATGAATACTTAATCTAGAAAATAACCAGAACAAATTAACTAGCAGTACAAACCGAGTGATCTGGTGAAACATTTTCTTACCTTTGACGCACAAACTCGTCAGTGACCACCTTCTTCACGTCACCAAACTCCTCGTGTCTCTCTCTGGGGACGGTTTTCAAATAATCACACAATCAGTTAAGAATCAATCGAAACACAGTCATTAATACTCAGGTGTAGAAATCACACATCCAGAGGTAATGAAAACTCTCTTACCCTACGTCGACTTTGAGGTTCTTCAGCGTTTTCCAGATGAGGTCTGACGCACAAACACAAACAGGCAATTATTCCCAAATTCTGGTTTTCACACATTAATACGGAAAACATGGAGAATGGACTCATACGAGTTAGTAACGAATGCATCTCACTAGGGCTGCTCAATTAATCGTATTGTAATCGCGATTACAATTATGGCTTGCAACGATTACGAAAACAACGTAATCGAAATAAAACGATTATTTTTTTATTATTACTTTTTTTTTTTATAATTTTTTTTTTTGGGTTTCAGTTGAATTATACTTAAAGTTCAGGGTAATCAACTGTTAAAAACATACTGTTCACATTTTCTTTCTCCAATAAATGGATGTTTTCAAAGTCAATGAATAATCGCATTTAATTTAATTATTGACCCAAATAATCGAGATTATGATTTCTGCCATAATCGAGCAGCCCTACATCTCACTCACTTTCTCCGACAACTCCTCCTTTCATAAAGATAACACTCAGGATGACAAACAGCAGACCCATCTTTGGGTTGGTCGGGTTGCTGCACACACAAGGGACACACAACCGTTTGAATAAATATCATTTCAATGCAGTCATCTAAAAAGATATGCAGTGAGACTCACGCGATCGGTGACGCTCCCTCAACCGTCTCCAGCTTATTGATGAGTATGTACATGTGATTTTTGGCGTCAATTTCAATCATTTTAAGGCCGAATACCTGATTGAGAAAGTGGAAAAGAGAAACGTTTTTTACATTTCTTTGATTATTCAATATGAAAGCTGATCCTCTGAGACTGAGCGGACCTGGTCAAAGATTCGTGCTGCTCTCTTCATGATCTCAGGGTAGATGTTTCTGTACTCCTTCACCACATGTTTCACAAGATCTGAAAGAAAGAGAAAACAATGAGGCCTTCTCCCTTCACGTCTGCTGACTGTTTGGCTCAGAGCTCCAGTTCAGCTTGGGGGGGGCTTTGCATCTTCATTCAAACAGAGCTTGTGGATAGAAACTTTACTTCCTATAAATTCACCATAAAAAACGTTTTAATTCCAATAGAATCACAATAAATATGCAGCCCCAGAATCTATACTATCTTTCTATACGGCTGAAAAAACATACCGGATCAAAAACACTAGATTAAAGAAGATATCTTGAACTTTAACTGAACTTAAAACTTAAAATGTTGAGTTAGCGTGTGCCGCTGTACCTGCTCGGCGTACAGGAATCTTCTTCTGATCCTTCACCAAGAAGAACTGCACCACCTCAGCTGTCTGCGGAGGAAAGAAGTGTGTGAGGGAATATTTTAAAAATGTAGTTTTGTGATGATTTAAAATAACCCTTCCCAGCGTTTCCGCCAGGGGGGCGTCTCGCCGTCATTTGACGCCCTTATTCAGCTCGGAACGCCCTGAACTCGAGCCGAGGGCGTCCAAAAAAGGAAAAAGGACAAGGGCGTCTCTCTGGTCTGGCGGAAACACTGACCCTTCCCTGTGTGCCTCTCACCTTCTGGTCGACCTGAGCCGGTGTGAGCTTCTCCAGCCCTCTCTGGACCTGCGTGGTGCTCGGCTGAGTGAACGTCTGGTCGTCTTCTTCCTCCTGAGTCGCAGCGGGACCCGAGGCTCTCTACGGGAAAACAAAATATTCACTGATTTTGTTTATATGAAAACGTATTTATTTTTATTTTAAAAACTCACCTGTTCACCATGGCCTTTGACCCCTAACCCATCACAGTCCCCCTGCTTCCACTCCTACTGCTATTTATTTAATTGTGTACTTTATTATTTGCCCCGTTTGTTGTTCACCATGTAAAGCGGCATTGGGTCCCTTGAAAGGCGCTACACAAATGTAATCTATTATTATTATTATTAACGTCAGAGGTAAACATTTTAATTTGTTTTTTAAGACCCTTTCCATACATGTTAAGACCTCATCGCCACTTTGAGTTTTAACCGGTTACCTTGGCGACACACTTTACCTCACATTTACTATATACAGTATTGATTGTCCTTGCTCCTTATCTTCCAACCATTTGGACGCAGACTTGCATTTCCCCATAACGATGTTGCTTAGCAACCGGCGTAAACGGACCTTCGCGCGCTATCAAGCAGTGAGCGTGCGATGTCCTGTTCAGATGACGTCAAATCCAACGGGATGCCATAAATAAACTACACAGAATCACACTACACACCTACGCAATGATTACATTCAGGCAGACTGTAGAATACAACCTCTTTGGACAATTTATATACTTATTGGAAACAAGCTACAACATGTAATACCTTGGAAAATGCAGTTTAATACTTTTTAATAGCCTTACTTTTCGCTAAATTGATTTATCAACTTTTAATACTTTTTAAGACCCCGCGGACACCCTGCATAATACCATGGTCAAAAGCAATAACACAAAGAAAGACTCTTAGCAGTTTAAAGGTAAAGGAAGTTGATACTATATTGAAGATATCCTTTTTTTAAATCAGAAAAAACCTTTATCTATGGATTACCTTTTCCTAATACTAAATACTTTTGTTCTGCTTCTTTAGGACATGTCTCTGTATGGTAGGTATAGGTAATAGATAAAGCATTATTTTTTTGTACTGGATAGATGTTATATGTATTATACTTTCAATGTGGAACATGAAACAGAATAGTCCAACACTAAGTTGCCGATTCTTCTTAATTATAGCTTAGTTTTTAATGTCTTGCAAGGCGGTTAAATACATCGTTTCTACACCTTTATCATTGAGAATAACGGTACATGTATGACTTTTATTTGTTGATAAAGGAAGCAGGACTGTCGTGAGTCTGAAGATTATGGTCAGGATGTTTTAACTCACCTTACTCTGAGAGGAGCTCTGTGTGTTGGACATCCTCTTTCTCTGCGTCATGGCGACACGATGCCTTATAAACAAAATAAAACACAACCACGGTCCGATCAGTGAGTTTATGTGGCTTTAAACACATATCAAAGTGTATTAAAACACAGTTTAACAGGACCAACCTTCACGGAAGTCCTAACCGTTAGAGCTAAAGCACCGTTAGCTAAGGAAACCTGCAAGCTAACTAGCTGTTTAAAAGCAAACATATAAATTAAATAAAGTTAAATATTCACCTCTCAGTGTCTGGAGAGTGGAGTGAAAGTATCGGAGTATTAAAATAAACGTTTTATTCAAAAATATTCAATGATTTTGTTCAAATGCAAACTTCTTTCTGAAAACAAACCGTCAAATTCCCGCTAATGTGGGTTTCAGTCGCGTGCTGATGACGTAGTAAGAGCCTGCCGGATGTCATTTTTGATGTATTTTTTAGTTTGATTAATTCAAGAACATAATATATGAACATCATATCTCAGGGGTAGACATATAAAGTAATGCCTTTTTAATCATAAGGTTTTAATAGTGCTACTATATTGTTTTAATTATCGGTTAATATTTTCAAAATGTGGTTTGGAGTCAGCTCATGTCTTTTTATGAACATGACATTTGTTATTGTATTTTTCTATTCGCGTTTATTTACTCTTTACTGGTAGTCATTAACATCAACAGCATGGAGAAGTACTCTACAAATTGACTAAAAACTGGTGGAAGAAACATCCAGATGATTTACTGAGGTAAAAGTACTTTGAAAATACTCTATTACAAAAATCCCGCATTGGAAACCTTTATTATTTCAACCATACTGCATTTTAACTTGTGTTATTATTATAGCATCGGACACAACATTATCAGCAGAATTTGATATATGTTATTGATCCCAAGTTAGGAAAAATGTTTCGTTAAAGCAGCATGTTGAAACAAAGGCATTGCACAACATTTGAAAAATAAAAAGAGTAGAAAATAAACAGATCTAAAAGGTAAAATATAAACAAGTTGACCATCTGTAGATTGGTATTACTTGTATTAATGTACTGAAGTAAGTTGAGTAAGTTTCCCAATGCAGGACTTCTAGTATTATCTTTGATATTAGTATTTTCAAATAAGTAAAGCATCTGATCTTTTTCAACCACCAATGCTGATGAACCACTGCTGCAGGTAACCTCCAACCTGTTCACTGTAACTGGTTTCAACACTAGAGGTCACTGCTGTGTAGCTTTTAATTAGATTATAGAGCCTCATTTCAAATCTCACATGTTTACTAACGCAAACTCTAGTTACACAAAAGTAACATAAATCTTTTTTTTAATGGTGAAAGTATCTTTCAGTCCCACTCGGCTCCCGTAAGGCAAAGTCCAGCCTCAGTTCGCAGCAGACAAACACACCGACACATACACACACACACACGCACACACACACGCACACGCGCGCGCGCGCGCACACACACACACACACACACACACACACACACACACACACACAGTTATAGAGACAAGCAGACAGACAGTGTGTTCTTCCACTTTCACACACACACGCGCGCCCTCAGAGACAGCGGTGTGTGTGCGGTCTCTGTCCGGCTCTGTTCCCCGGCCATGCGGAGGAGACGATGGGGGAAGAGGCAAGAGTTTCTCCGCTTAAGAACTTCGTGGCTGGGGGAGTCGCCGGAGCCTGCCTGCTGCTGGCTGGACACCCGCTGGACACCATCAAGGTGACTCCCTACTACATGTTGGTCAGGCTATATATACTACCAGAAGATTGTGAATTTAACATACACTTACTTTTATATTACCAAGGACTACATTTCATGTGTTTAGAATTGTATTTCCTGCTTTGTGGGCGGTTTTATTCTGGAGTTTGATGTCTGAGAAAAGGATTAACAGAGTCAGTGGTCAGATAAAGGTGTGGATGGGATTATTGATGAATCAGTTTACAATGTCAATAAGGACATGTGAGCTATAGGGAGTTGTGTCTGGTAGTAATAGTAAAAGGAGACGTACATATTAGGACTACAATGTAAATATTTAAAATAATCTATTGTGTTGTATATAAAGTGCCAGAAGAAACTCAAGGTGAAGTGTTTTGAAAAAAGTCACAGTAATAACAAAGATATTAAGTTACATATGACAAAGAAATCTGTTATAATATAAGATTTATAATCACAATTCGGTTTATTGCTAGGAATTAGTTTGAGTGAAAACATGGTAGCCTATAATAGAGATTACAAAAATAAAATATTCGTACAAGAAACATTCAGAAATACAATACAAATATGACAAACTACTAGGAAAAATATATACAGTATGTCTGAATTATGAACTCTTGGAATTCGGTAATTTTGTGCATAAATGTAAAAAATTGTCTTATTTAAGAAACTGTAGCCAACAAAAGTACATGGCTAATAATCCATTAATGGGTGGCTTGCAATGACAGGTGGATGACTGGCAACACAAATACATCTGAATTTAAAGCATCTCACGATCCACATGGAACAATTAAAACTGGATATTAAGTCACAACATTTTTTGTCGAATATGTAAAACGCACATTTGTCCTTATTCCAGGCTTCAGGTGTAATCGATGTACAGCTGAAGGTCCTGAGGCTTTATATGTCTCACGTTTTATATAGAAGGAGATTAGAGACTAGTCCACAATTATCTGCAGATTATTTAAATAATTGTGGTGTTAAACAAATTAAAAGGCAATAAATAACTGCAATATTTATTTGTTCTGACAAACGAAGATTCAGGAGTTTCTTAGGCGTAATTTGTTAGTTTTTTCATAACATTTAATATAGGGTCAAACAGACCTAAACCCTTTCAAAACTGTCCCCCAACCTTTGGTTACCCTTAACCATATATATGTTATCTTTTCCATTGAGACGACATTTCCAAACAAAAGTGTTTTAGAATCATTTGAGATTCAAAGTTGACTTTTTATCAGTCGTTGTGTTGATCCATCTTTGACTCGTGTCTTTCACAACATCCACCCTGTGACTGCTGAACGATCAGACCCTGCTAAGGTTTATGTTTTCAGAGAAGGGAAGTGAGAAGAAAGGTTTTCAGTCGAGGGATTTTTACGACTGTTTTCTATTCATAGCGAAACCGTCCATGACATGTAGGCCAACAAAAGGTTCACCGACAGCATAAACATTCCTTCTAGACAGGATTCATTCCAAGATGCATTAGTGTTTTGGATGTATTATGAAATGTAGTCCATTCATGTTCCCCCCAGGATGAGTTGCAATAACTTTATTTATCCCATTACTTTTTTTTTGGTGCCATCATGGTTTTGATACAGTATGTATACCTGCAACATTAATGACGTTCTCATCAGTTTAGTGCAGCTAGTATTACTGTGTGATGTTATATTATTATCATATAGAGCCAGCTTTATCTCCCTCTCACTGTCAGACTCTCACAACAACGTTTTTTTGTATCTGCGACACTGAGCAGCAGACATTGATGGGTGTTTCCTTTATCTACCGTCTCAACAATCCACCCCTCCAAAACACATGGCCCAAGATATGTGCCTGTGTGTGTGTGTGTGTGTGTGTGTGTGTGTGTGTGTGTGTGTGTGTGTGTGTGTGTGTGTGTGTGTGTGTGTGTGTGTGTGTGTGTGTGTGTGTGTGTCTGACCTTTCTAATTAATTGCTTTTCTCCAGGTGAGGCTACAGACGCAGCCTAAAGCCCCTTGCGCTCAGTATGTCCTCTACAGAGGAACATACGACTGCTTCCGCAAGACCGTCACCAAAGAGGTGAACACACACACACACACACACACACACACACACACACACACACTCCCAAACCACTACAGAATACAGTTCCCGGTTAGTCAACTCCGGAAAAATGAAATATGAATATGCTTTCTCCTATTGTGTGAATTTCAGTTCATCGGTGGACTATTATTCTTGCCCATAATTGATTGATGAAATGGTGTGTGTGTGTGTGTGTGTGTGTGTGTGTGTGTGTGTGTGTGTGTGTGTGTGTGTGTGTGTGTGTGTGTGTGTGTGTAGGGTGTCCTCGGCCTGTATAAAGGTATGGGGGCACCTCTGGCGGGCGTCGCTCCGATGATGGCCATCAGTTTTTTCGGGTTCGGTCTGGGTAAACAGCTCCAGCAGCCCGATCCTAACAAACCCCTGACGTAAGCACACACACACACACACACACACACACACACACACACACACACACACACACACACACACACACACACACACACACACACACACACACACACAG